AGAATCCCAGCAGGATCACACTCCAACAGCCACGGCAACACCAGATTGATAATGCACCTCCATCAGCTTGTCCCCTTCCCCTACCAGCCTTCCCTGAGATGACCTCCCACACAGACTTACACGCAAATCCTTGTTCTTGGCTCTGCTTCTGGGAGAATTCAAACCAGGACCCTGCACAGCGTCTCAATAATTGGAGCTCATGTTAATAAGCTGCTGATTCTTTGTCAAGTACTGTTCTAAGCTGCTTTGATGTGTTAACTCGACTAATTCTCACAACAAGCCTACAGATGGGGAAATTGAGGCACGGAAGATTTTACTAACCTGCCCTATTTCACTCAGCTACGGGTGGTAGAGCTGGGAGTTCACACCGGGCCCCACAAAAACCATAACCAATGGCACAATCTTCTGAAAGTTTGGCAGCGCCATAGAGTTGGGGATGAGGGGAGGGAAAGGTGGCCGGCCCTGCCTCACCCTGAGGGTTAGTGAGCATATGGATGGAAGGAAATGCGAAAACTCCACATACGGCTCTCGCCATAGCAGCAAACACTCACTGGCAAGTCCCCTGCACACTCCCATTCTCACCCAGTAACATATCAGAGTTATGCCCTGAGCGGTGATCAATATCCGCAAGAGAAGGGCTACAGCATTCTGAAGGCGGCGAGCCTCCACTGTCACGCTCCCTAGTTGGAGTAATGAAAAGGTCTACCTGCCTGGGACTCAAGGAGCCAGGCAAAAAGGAGCCAAGACTTCCAGGGCAGAAAAGTTTTTTAAAGATGGGTGGGATGAGAAGCAAAGGAGATGGCAGTTTTAAAACATGGCTGCAAATTCCTTGATCCTCCTATCATCAGAAAGCGGGGTCCCTGCCCTTTCTGAATCTGAGCAGTCTTGTGACTGCTTTGACCAATACAGAGTGGCAGGAGTGACGCTAACTGGTGTTTGAGGTGGGGTCGTAAATAGCCATCCAGCTTCACCTTTGTCCGCTGGCCTGCCCTGCAGCCGCCATATTGTGAGGAAGCCCAAGATCCCTGGAGAGACCACGTGTGGACATTCCAGCTGTACCCAGCTTTCCAGTCCTCCTGCCCAGGCACCGTCCATGTGGATGAAAAAGCCTTCAGGTGATTCTACCCCCAGGCACCCAAGTCACTCTCAGCTGTTTGCATTTTCCCAGATAAGCTCCCAGACATGGAGGAACAGAGACAAGCCAGCACTATTGTACACTGTCTAAACGCTGACCCACAAAATCCGTGAGCCAAATAAAACATTTTTATGCCCCGAAGTTTGGAGGTAGTTTGTTACACAGAAAGAGATGAGTGAAGCCATCCCCATGCTGGCTGACTCCATCTAGACCAGCGGTTCTCAACCTTCCTAAGGCCGCGACCCCTTAATACAGTTCCTCATGTTGTGGTGACCCCCAACCATCAAATTATTTTCGTGGCTACTCTATAACTGTAATTTTGCTACTGTTATGAATCGTAATGTAAATATCTTTTTGTTTTCCAATGGTCTTAGGCACCTCTGTGAAAAGGTCATTTGACCCCCAAAGGGGTCACGACCCACAGGTTGAGAACCGCTGATCTAGACTGAAAGGCAGGCCAGTGAGAGCAGGAAAAATATATGCACACTTCCCTCTCGATGCCTAAGATTGTTCACGTTGAATTAGGCACCATAGACACATTGCAAGACATAACATCAGAGCAAATAAATTTGGGAAACACTGGATTAAATGAGTTTCTTACCACAAACAAGACCTTTCAATATGCCCATGTACAGGGTGCTTGTCCAAGAGGGAGGTAGAGGTTATGAGTCGGTCCAGATGTTGCCGCTTCCCTCCTACTTTCAATAAAAGCAGTCAGGCTTTCCACTGAGAAACCACACCTCCCCAACTCTCAGCCCACTGAGTGGTTACAATTACACTCATTAGCTATAGATCATTCTTTAGAAAGAATTTCTAAATATTTCTGAGCAGTGGAGTTACAAAACTTGCTTTTATGGAGAGTGTGAATCACTCACACGAATAAGTTCCCACGCGGCTGCTTTGTCCCGGTAACACACAGGGATGCCTGCCTACTCAGCCCCTTCGGGAGGATTCTCCCAGGATTTCCAGGGCCGGGCAGAGCCTGTAGCTGTTGACCCCAGGGGTCATCATCTCAATCCATTTAGACACGACAAAGCAAAACAACAATTCCATTTCCCAGATGAATTTTGCCAAAGTTAGTGCACTAAGTGGCATTCAGAAAGCAATTGTGGAAGTATCTTAATTTCTTTAAATGTCTTTAAAGTACAAAGAGTAAAGGCTGCTTATTTTCCAGACTGTCTCAACAACCCATTCCCACTAGCTGCCCTTTAGGTCCCAGAGAAGGGTCAACATCTCAAAAGCTCATTCACATCTACAGTCCTAACAACATTTTCTAGAACCCCCAGTTATTCCTGTAGCATCTTGTCCCTGGATTCCCTCCTCGCCCTCCGAGGTTGCTGCAAGCAGCTAGTGGGAAGGGATTCATTAACTGTCTGCACAAGGGTGTTGAACTCTGGGGAGAAGCAGGCTTTATCAAGTTTCCACATTTGGCTCTCAATTCACAGGACAGAAAAGAGCTTGCTTGTAAACATTTCTAGTTGCAGCATTCGGGAATTAGCATGACTCACTGCAAAGATTTCTAAGACAATCAGCAGTTTGCCCAGCTGCTGCCTTTTCCTGCGTGGCCTTAGCAAGCCAACAGGCTTAAGCACGGCAGCAAGATGTTGTCAGAAAACCTCTCAGACGGAGTGGTCCCCCCAGGACACAAATGGCCCACAGTCAGTCCAGCATGGACCTGAGCCTCAGTGTCCTCATCTATAAACGGAGAACGAGAAGAGCCCCAGTCACGCTGGGCTCATCGGAAGCTGGAGAGAGAATGTGCATTGCTGTGTAGACAGAGTGTATTGAGTAACACCTCTCTGCCTGGGCTGGCCAGCGTCTGTGCCTCCCCGCAATTGATCGATTTGCCCTGGGTTGTTCAACAGGCATGTCCCACTAGACTGGAAACTACCTCCATGAGGGCCATATATCCCCACTCCATCGCTAGGACCTAGCACGGTGAACATGGGTATAAATGGAAGGATACACACCCCCATCACGTGTGGCCACCCAACCTGGGAGGCCCTCCTACAAATCATCTCCAGCAGCTTCTGGCATAGAAAGTACCTCCTACATTCTCTGCACCCTCTGCACATCCATCAATCTGCACACAGAAACCCAAACAGGCCCGCAGATTGTAATAAAAGCATGGTGTGTCCCCACATTTGCACCAGGAAATTCTGTATGAGCTGCGACTCCCCATACCTTTCTGCCGTTATTCTTGGGATGAGTAGAAAACAAACAAGCAAAAAAAAAAATCCTTACAATCACAGTGTGGTATTATTTTTCAATTCCCCCTTTAAAGAACCTAGAATCTGGTAGAAATGATCAACTATGCGACAGTGACTTTAAAAAAAAAAGCACACATCAGTTTTAAAAAAAGAGGACTTTAATAAAGAATAAAAGAGATCAATATACTTTTTAAATGCATACAAAAATAAATATTCATTTGGTATATTAAAGATATGCGCCTCAACATTCATTTGAGCTACAGACTAAAGTCGATTGTTATCTTACAAAATTTCAGGAAAAAAAAGTACGCTATCCTTAAAAAGGTGATGTTCATTTTGTTGGCCAAAAGGAGAAAAGCCACTTTTACTGAAGTTGTCCTATATTCTGACGCGCATTCAGGCACATGCAAAGGCCCTATGATTATTGCGTCTGGCTAACACTACACCAGCATCACCCTCGTAGCAGTAAAAATGAAAGGAAAGTAAACGGGCATTCTTTGGCTTTTCAGGTTTTAAATGAGAGACGTTCGTGGTTACAAAGCCACCACATTGGCTGAGCTGGGGCAACCTGACCCCCAAACCCCAACTCCTTCTCCCATTTCTCCAAATGACTTGACAGGTGAGAGAGGCCCCTTCATGCCCTTTCATTGTGAGATTCTGAGTCAGGGGTGGTGGTGACTCAGGGTGGGTGATAAAGGAAAAAGAATATAGATTCTTCTCCCCACCTCCAAGAGAGGGGAAGGGAGGCAAAAGGACCATCCCCAGCCCCCCTAAAGTTGCCTGGTGTCTACACCCATGGTGGGACTGACTCAGGCAGATCAACAAACTCGGCACTGGCAAAACGTGGGGCAGGCACTCGACACACACCCATGGGCGCCAATCTCTGCCAGTCGCAGTGCACTCCATGGGACAAAGAGACCAATCAAAGGCACCCCAATCTAGCAAAATACAACATCCTTTTAGAAAGAAAATGTTCAAGGGCTTTTTAATCCTGAAAGTGGTTTTAAAGTGGTTGTGGAGATGGGCTATGCTACATACTGGACTGTCAGTGAGATGGTGTGAGTTGCCCCCATCCTCCAGCCAAGCCATTGTTTTTCATCTTCTGTGCGGCTTTTGATTAGCATCATGATACAGGGTAAACATTTTGACACATTCTGGGGGTAGCAAATGCATTGTCTTTGCTAGTAAATAGGGTAAGTTCTCCTAAGGCTCACACTGGGGTCTCCATTGAAATTTCCTGAGATGACTCTGTTGAAGAGTGGAATGCAGTATGGAGTGGGGCCACCTTGATCCTCAAGGAGTGGTAGGGATGGGGGAAGGCATTCTCCCGGCCACAGTCCACCCCAGGACAAGTGTAGCGGGGACAGGCTAACACGTCATCCACATCCCCCAATCCACTCTAGCCACGCCCATACACTAAACACCACTGGCTGGTGAATGGGTTGACTGAGTTGAAAGCACAATCTAAATGCTCGTACAAGCCACAATTATTTTTCGAACTTGTGGTTTATATCTTGTCCATTTTATAAAAAAGAAAAAAAGAAAAAGAAAAACCTTCAAAGCTATTTATAAGAAGTCGTATAAAATAGGACAATGAAAAGCACAAATATTTTTAAAACAGATCAAAACAATTTAGAAAGAAGCAAACAGAGAGGTATTTGGGGTTGATTTAATTTTTAAAAAATGAAAAAATAAATTTGGCTCTCAGCTCCCTGGCAACAAGGGCCAAAGGGAAATTTTTCATGGTCTGAAAGTAAAAATACACAAGTTCACCTTGTGATGGAAACGCTTTCTTAGCACCAAATTCTGGGGAGAATAGACATTCTCCTCACAAAAGTTTTATTTTCACTTATTAAAGGGAGGCTAAGTATCTAAGTATTTTCAAATCTTGTTAACATGCTTAAAAATAAAAAGATACTTCACATGGAATCAAGCACATGAAGTCATAGATTTAGAGCTCTTAACAAAAGATAAAGATGAAAAGCGTTTTTTTTTTTCACTAGGTCATCTCCAAATTTCTGTGCTGGAAGCAGAGATGAGCTAGTTGAATCAAATGCCCAGTGTTTGGAAATATCAATTATCCCAAAATGCTGAAAGAATCATAGCAACTAATGAGAATTACAGGGAAAATGCAGGAAATAAATGCTGTAATCACAGATTCTAGTTACAGCATCCATGCCAGTTTCAATGTTTATATCTGAAGAGTAGAATCGTGATGCGGCTTTGTTTCACATGGCAAGGCCTCAGAGAATGCCCTTACTAAATTAAGAGCAGAATGAGGCGTCCCACCCCAGGTCAGAGGGCTCCGCATCCTTAAATAATTACAACAGTAATTGTAATAATGAAATTCGAGATGTGGGCGGGGTGGGGTGCCCAAGAGAGTGGCTTAAACTGTGATCTGTTGGTTTTCTCTGAAAAAGGGTCTCTGGTGCGAGGCACAAATATCTGGAAACATCCGGAAGACCTGGTCTGGCTGGGGCTCCTCGGGTGCCTGCATCATGGACCCAGCACCACAGCTCTTCCCCGCCTCCTCTACCAGCTGCCGGACGTAGAGTTGTTCAATCTAGAGGGATGGTGCACAAGGTTAAGAGATGGAGGCGGGAAGTGAGGTGGGACTTCCTTTGACCCTAGCCAGATTCTCTGATTACCCCAGTCCAAAGCTATCATTCAGAACCTTCACCTGAGTCCCAAATGAAGGAACCCAGAAGAGGCAGAGGCAAAGAAAGGGCAAGCTATAATCCTACCAAGAGTCCTATATATGCTTTCCCAATATTGTCCCAACCTGCTAGCCAGTGTCCAGAATTCCACCATTAGAGTTTCATTCCTTTGACTATAGTTAAATAAGGGTTTGCAAACCCCTAATCTGTCGCTTAGACCTTCCAACAAGGTGGACTGTTTCTGGGAAGGAGGCTTTGATTTAGCAAAACAAGCCAAACAGAAAAAAAAAAAGAAGAGGACACATAGATTGTGAGAGTCCTGGAACATAAGAAGATGGTTTGGAGGTGGCAAGAATCCACATCCCCCACCTGAAGGTCTCGCCCATCCCTGCCTCTGCACACAAGCTAAGTACCCCAGTCTTTGCTGCCTGTCCTGCAGCCCAAGTATAAACTGGGTGCTGAGGTGTAGGCTGAGGCTGGGAGATCTGGCCACAACCCCTGCAACCTGCCTGTTCTTACCTGAACGAGAATGAGTTTGGAGTGCAAGGGGGTCATATCTGGAAACTCTTCTCCGAAGCACAGCACAACTCTGCTGTCGGGAAGCCGGCTCTGGTTGTTATAGAACTGCTGCAGCTCTGGAAAGACACGAGGGGGGAAGAGACCGGTGTTTGCAACTCCTGGCCTCACTAGCCTCTTCACCAGGTGGGCTCCTCGGTGCTTCCACACCTGAGCTCACACAGGCCACCTCGCCCACCTTTCCAGGGTCTTTCTCCAGGAAGCCTCCAAGAGTTCTCAGGCCGGCTGGCAGGAGAGATGTGACATTAGCTCCTGGCCGGTGCTGTTACAGGAGGAGGAGCAGAGAGCTTTCGGGGGCACAGAGAAAGGGGTCACATGCAGCACTGCAGGTGGCCAGGCTGAATAATTTCAGACACCCTAACCTTCTAGGAAGAACACACGGGGTGGGGTCCTAATTCTACGCCTCACAGAATAACAACGGCTGACGCCCGGGTGTGTGCAGGGGTCGTCTTGAGGACTCAGTGTGCACAAGGTCAGCACACACCAATCCCCAAGGACCTGGCCAAGATGCAGATCTGATCCTGAGAACTAGGGGTAGGACCTGAGACTCTGCATTTCTAACCAGCTCCTGGGCATGGGAACAGTCCACAGCGGACTTGCAAAGCACCACGCCAGAAAGGTCCACATCTGCACTCCCATTCTACACATAAGGAAGTCAAGGCACAGAGAGGGTCCCCAGGATCACTCATCAAGAAAGTGCACAGCAGGATTCAAATGCAAGGGGCGCTCCTGCAGCACCCGTGCCCCTGGCCCCTTCACATTCCCACAGGGACTGTAGATGGCAAATGGCCCACGAGAAGGAGGCGTGATCTTTAAGATTTGGGCAGCAGGTGACAGTGGTACAGACCTCGGAAGAACAGGCTGGTATTGAAGACCTTGACCACCTCATCACGCTCCAGCTTGTTGGGCCTATCCTTGCACAGCACAGCGTTGCCACAGTAGAACACACGGCCCTGGCACAGCCGCTTGACCAGTATGCCCTGTTGGCTGCTGTGCAGCAGCACGCCACGCTCCAGGTGCCCGAAAAGCTTCCGAGTGACCTGCCTCTGCCGCTCGCTGGGGATGGTGTCAGCTGGCGGGAAGCGCACCACCTCCAGGCCCTCGAGCCCGTACATCTTGGCACTGTGCAGACCCGGGTGGCTCAGGGACAGGCGGCAACCCTCGGGGCAAGTGGTGGTGGTCTGGCCCACCAGCTTGCCCCCGTAGTAGAAGCTGATGACCATCTGGGAGAAGGCTGTGGGAAAGAAGGAGACAGGTCAGGGCTGAGGGAAAGGGGGGCTCCCTGGGGCTCCCTGGTCCTTCCTGTGCAAATGCCCAGAGCTTTTCTTTCTCCCAAACTGGGGGAGGGGGGCTTAACTTTTTGTGTGTCTAGGAGGCCCTCTGTGGCATTCTGGGAAGCGCATGCACCCCTTCTAGAAATAATGATTTTTATAGGCATGAATAAATATACAAGATTGCTAAGGAAACCAAAGATTTTGAATATAAAAAACTACTATAGTACTCTCTATACTACTGGGGAAGGGCTGACATCTGTTGCAATTTACCAGACACCCTAAGGGTAATGAGGTTTTGACAACTTAATTTCTTAGGAAAATAGCTCCATCTCACAGGCACTGCTATAACACAATGTTATACAATGTTATACTAAATATCATACAATGTTGTAATATTAACATATGTATTATACAATATTACACTATATAATATATTACACAATGTTATAATATATATTACATAACATTATCTAGATCTATAGTTTTATGCTATATAACAGTGTGGCCTGTTGCCTACAGTCATAATGGAAGGAAATTCTAGATTTGAACTCAAAGTTAGTGATAATAAAAATATAATCTTTTCCTTGACAAATTCACGGCTCCCTTGAGATTCTCTGGATTTCAAATTCAGAATCTCTCCAAAACCTGTCATCTAAACCTGTTCTCAGGAAAGAGTATGAAAAACACTCAAATTAAGGCATCATTTCCCAGAACGTGCTACACTTAAGATGATTGGGGGCGGGGTGACACAGCATTGAATAAATGAAAAGATTATTCCAATATTTCTCAATCTCTGAACACCTCAAAAAGGAAGCCCCAGTTTGGTGCCTATGGGTCTTTAACACCTAATCCTGACAACCCCCCCTTTTAACAAAGGGACAGGAGTTAGGGCTCTGAGCCTTGGGTAGGTGGTAATATCTGGTCAGAATTTCCAAACTATCTCTGGTTTTCACTGGATTTGCTTTAACCTCTGACTTCTGCTTCTAGAAATTGGCAGTGGTTCTCCTTTTATGGGCAATGATAGATGGCCCCCATTTCAAATAAAGTTAAGTTTGAAAAAGTGATATTTAGAGAAAAATAGGATGTTACTAACAGTCCAGGTGATACCCAGATATGAAAACTAATTGTGACGATGGAGCTTAAGTGACTAAAGTCTGGAAACCTCTAAACCAAAGTAGGAATGACGACAACAGCTAAATTCAGGGATACCACCTGAGGAATCTGCATTTTAATAGCCTTAAACTATAAGGATTACATGCACTATCAGTGAGCGTGGTGAGTTTGGGGCACCTTTTAAGTGCCGCAGACCAATCCAGGGCTGCCCCTTGGAACCACACAAGCTGTGAGCAACCCAACTCCATGGAACCCCCCAGAGCTGTGCAGTGCACCACCTGCATAACTGTCAGGGGCAGCCCTGTGGGTGGCCACCTGCCTCACCTGGGCTAACCTTGCTGTGCACTTACAATTCCTCGGACCCTCCCACTGAGCTCAAGAAACATTTGCTCAGTCAAATATTAAGACTCTCCACTACTGTTCACAGGCTCCATTTTCTCCCACGTTGGAGTTAAAAGGCATTCTAGAATCAGGCAGGGTCGGGAGTCGGAGCTGCAGGTGCTCCAGTCTAACTCATTTGCTGACATTCGGGGAAACTGAGGCCCAGATGGGGTCACCTAGCAGGTAAGTGGCAGCATCGGCACTCAACCCTGTCTCCTTACATCCCGTTCACCACCCTCCTACCCGCCAAGTCTGCACCGTCCTCATCGCCTGATGACTTGACACATTCCACTTCCTTCACTCTAGGACAATTCTGAACTTTGTCCCACATGAACGAAACACTCCAGATGACTCTGTCACCAGTCTGTCCCTTTGCCCTGTCATTGCTGTGGCCTTGTAGCGCCTCTCGATCGTGTGAACTGACTGCTTCAGAAGGAGCAGCAGAAAAGGTGTTCCAGAGATGCCCAGGTGGGGCTGTCCTAGTGACCCCAATGCTATGGGACAGTATAGGCTCAGAGAAGGTTCAAGCTGGAAAGACTTGAGCCATGACTCACCATACCTACAGGTGAGCAGCTGGAGACCCACGGAGCAGAAGCCACTCATCTAGGGCCACCATGTACTCAGTTCAGCCCTTCCACAATTCTAAGAGCTCCACTACAACCATGCCTTGCTCCTGTTACAACCACTCACCCACCGAGGGCACCCTGCTAGGGGACTGACCACAGCGGCAGCAGAGCACAGACTCTGAGCCCCCTGCCTGATGTGTAATCCCAGCTGTGTGACCTGGGGCAAGCAGCTATCCCACTCTGTGCCTCAGTTTCTCCATCAGCAAACTGAAGACAATAATGCACCACCTCACTGGGTGGGTAGGAGGACTGCATGAGTCTGTATTTGTGCTTAGCATACACCAGCACCATATAAGTGGTTATTGAATAAATTGGGGTACTAGGACAAAAGATTAGCTACATAGATGAGACCCCTGAAGTTACAAGCCGCAGTCCCTGGCCCACACAGCACATCCCAAGTACTGTTCCCAGTGCTTTGGGCCTATCAGCACATTCCATCCTCAAAATGACCCCATGAGATGGACAATTAAAAATGATACCCATTTTCCAGATGAGAAAACCGAGACATAGACAAGTTAAGGCACTTGACCTCAGTGGCACAACTGCTAACTGAGGCGCCTGGATGTACTCCCCCCACCCCGACCCCCTCCACCCCGGCAGGTGGCTTCATATCTGTGTTCTTAAGCAGCAAGCCACACTGTGAGTTTCAAGCACAGCCCTTTACCCCAATCATGTCAAATACATACAGTCAAAAGCACAAACAGGCAGCCACAGTCATGTTTGGATCCACCAGCACAGTGAGCTGCTGTTAACACAGATTTGCTGCCACCTTTTCATACTGGAAGATTTCACCTAAAAATCCAGACCTCTGGTTTCTTTAGAAAAATGGGAAAATCGAGTCTGGCTGTGTCTGCAAGTCCACCAGGCATGCTCCCCCACCAGCAGTCCAGTGGGGCGTGGTCCCTCTACTTTGAAATAGTCTCTGCCATCCCCTGTTGTCTTTTCACCTGCCATTTCACTCATTACATTACCTCGTGCCTGCAGGGTTAAGAACATCAACTGACATCAACTTATTTACACTGGGGGGTGGAGGGGTGAACTGAACAGAGGTATCCAAGTCCCTAACTTCTAAAGGAATGTTGTAGGATTTTCTCTGCACGAGGCAGGGGCTGCAAGTCACTCTACTTGCTGCTTGCTGAGACAGCTGTGCAAAAAGTTGAGAAAGCTTCCTCCTCAGGCCATGTCTTCTCACCCAGATGCTGCAGCCTGGTGCCTGGCTACACTCCGGCCCCCAGAAAGCACTGGTCAGCAGACTCCCCAGGCCACAGCCCAGAGCTTACCAGGTCAAAGGCCCAGGGCCATGGCCCAGGTCCTCTGGAAGCTGAGCATGGAAGCTGCCCAAGTGTAAATCAGAAAACATGCTTAAAGCCAGATGCCTGGGTTTGAACCCGGCAACCCTGCTTACCAAGCTGTGTGACCTTGGGTGAGTGATTTAACTTCTAAGCCTCTGTTTCCTCCTCTGTGAAGCCGCAGTTATAACAGTCCCCAGGGCTGCTGTGCAATGGATGAGAGCTCGATGAATAAGACCATTGTTTTCTTTATAACTTTCTTGCCTAGGTGAGAACCTGCCTCCACTACCCCCAAAAACACCCATCCCCTGAGGGCCTTGGTCAAGACACTTCTCTCTGAGCCCTGTTTCCTCCTCTGTGCCAGGAGGCCTCAGATCCCCAGCCCTAACGTTCTGTGGTCCATCTTGATGAGTCAGGCTGTTCCCTTCTCACAGAACCCGGCAGCTGTTGGGGAAGACACTGGCTTCCTCTGCTCTGAAGACACCATCAATGAGCCTACATGTAAATTCCAGGGGCCACTGGAAGGAGCGTGGTCCAGGTCCCCAGCGGAATTAGATACCAACGTGGTACTGAGGCCATCTCCAGCCTCAGAGGGCAGGAGCATGGATGGGACAGCATGGGGCCATGTCCCAGCTCTGCGGCCCACAAACTGTGTGACCAGGGGTTTCTGAGCTGGTGCAGTGGGAATAATAATGGCACCTACCTAGGGGCGGTCTGAAGGGCTAATGAGATGAGGCCATGAACATCTCAATGATGATCCTGGATCCAGCTAGCATTCACAAAGTCGGCCACCACTGTCATCATCACCATCACCACCATCACCACCATCACCACCACCATCATCATCACCATCACCACCACCATCATCATCACCACCACCATCATCATCACCACCACCATCACCACCATCATCATCACCACCACCATCACCACCATCACCACCATCACCACCATCATCATCACCACCACCATCACCACCTCCATCATCACCATCATCACCACCATCATTGTTATTAGTATCATTATTGTTACAAACTTGGGTGTGGGAGAGAGTAAAAGAAACTGACACTGGTGAAATTCACTGACCAACATGTCCCTACCAGAAAGGTTTAATCACACTACGTTTCATCCTTACAGCACTCCCGTAAAGTAGTTGTTATTACTGTTCCTAATATACAGAGGAGGAGCCTGAGGTTCTGAGTGGTTCAAATACTCTGCCTGGGATCGCATGAGGGGGGCAGAGCTGCGCCTTGAGTCTACCTGTCCCCACACTCTCTCCCGCATAGTTACACCTGTAAAGAGCTCTTTGGCTCTATCTGTTGGTCCAATTCGAGAAGAGGCTCAAGAAAGGCCTGCCACGTGCTCGCTGCCAAACCAAACAGTGAAAAGGAGGAATCAGGTGCCCAACTTTTAACACCAGGTTGTACTTGTCCACAGACCCTCAAGGGTCCACAGACCCCACACGGGTCCTTTGAGCTTTGTCTTCAAACAGTGCCCACCCCCTCCCCCGCCGCCCAGCCCAGGTCATCTCATACCTGAATGGTGAGCATCATAGGTGGTGTACCCCGGCACCAGTGGCAAGCCTGCTTGGAGAAAGCAAAAAGCTGATTAAGACCTAGCCAGACCCGGTTGTGTGTGGGGACCCAGCCCGAATGCTCCCCCTCTCCAAAAGTTTCTTCAAAAGCCTCATATGGCGTGCTCCTGAGGCCCTGCCACGGGCTTCCGCTGAATTCGGTGTTTTTCCCTCTCTAGTGCGGCGACCCATGTTTCATAAATGCAGAAAACCAGACCTCAACCCAACCAGCATGGAGGGGGGGGAGACTTCCTCTGTGCTGTGGGATTCTGACCATTTGTCAGTGTGACACTGTGGGGCCACATTTCCTTCCCCCCCGAGGGCCTGCTCTCGAAATATCGCTGGACTGTGTGCCCACCATCCAGGGCTTGTCTCGTAGGGGAGCTCAAGCCCAAGCTAGCTTTCACAGGGGTACTGCTGAGCACAGGGAAAGGGGGCTCTCCCAGAGGCCCGATTTGATACCACCCCACACTCTGGCAAGCTTTGAGGCCAGCTGGGCCTGGCCACCTCCCCATCTCCCATAGGGGACAGTGCGGGGGAGGCCGAGGGAGGAAGCAAAGGTGCTCATGCTTGGGGAAGATCATTTCAAGCATGGGGCAGGGTGTCATCAAAAGCTAATAAGTGGGTGGCTGCCTTATTCAGCCTCATGATCCTGTGGGGCAGGTAATGGGGTCTCCACTTGTCAGATGAGTAAACTGAGCCTCATATAAGACATGCAATTTCCCAACAGGGGGTTCAAATCCAGGGCTCCCAGTGAGCAACTGCCTGTACCTGGCCTGTGCTCTCCTGCTCTCCAGCTGCTCTGGGCTATGCTTGGCTCTGAGGGGTCCCTAATGTCCTAAGAAACTAGATGGCAGACCTAACAGAAAACGTGGCCCAGAGCTGCGAACAACTTCTGGTCTTGGGGTTCACTGCACTCTGTCCCCTCCAACCTTCCCAGAAGCCTAGGGGAGAGAAGACACCTCCGACAGGAAGGACACGCGCGCCTTCCTGGGAGGCAGTGGCAGATGAGGCGAAGAGCATGACTGGGCTCTGTCCTCAAGGGCCATCTCTCTGGGCTCAGTTACCTTCGATAAAATATGGACCCTAGCAACTCCCCAGCCCTCAATCGGCCCTAGCCGCTGTAAGGCTGAAACCATTTAAAATGAGTCCAGTCCCCACACCACGTGGGGCGATCCTGGGCTCCCATCCTCACCTGCACTGGGCTGCTGCATCCACCAGTCTGGGAGGAGATGATTCCTGCAGGCCTCAGGAGGGGAAGGGCTCCTTTTGACCATCCCCATGTAATCATCCACAGAAGGCTGTGCAATTAGGGACGAGAGAGAACAGTGCAGTCACTGGGCTGCAGAGCAGAGCGCCAGCATTGTAAAGATGAACGGCTTATGCTTAACTAAAACCGTATTGTCACCTTTACCTCATGAAACAAAAGCAAAGTTTTACTTTGCATCTTGAAAGATCCAAGACAGTCCAGTGAGCTTAGGGATCAAACCACACAACTGAGTTACTAGCCTCTTAAGGGCCCCTAATAAGTGTATTGGCTTTTGCATGGAACTGCCTGCTGCAAACCCTGGGACACCAATGAACAGTAACACGGAACAAACGCTTCCATGCTTGAGCGAATCTCGCTCAATGCACCATGTCTAGAGTTTTCCATCTCTGACCCATTCCTTAAAGGAAGTTGATAAATCCAATTAGGAAATGTTTTTGAAATCTGCTTTTCCTGTGATCCTGGTGCGCCAATCCAATTACCTCGCTCCCTTAGCTGAGTCAGCAGAAAAGTCTCATTTGGAAAATGGGACATTGTTGGAAAGCCACGAAGCCAGGAATTCATGCGGTCTGCTGCCAAAGACCACCCAGAGACGTAACAGCTGCCATGTGCAGAAAAGTCAGGCAGCTTAGAGTAGGTTACATCTGGTTACCTGCATTTTCTGACTGCCGAGCTACTCTTACTCCTAAGGATTCTAGCCTGGCCATGTGAGTATTAAGAATTCCTAGAGTATCCACACCACCTTTTGCAAGGGCTGTATGGGATTATGTTAGCTATGCAATGTCTGCCTTGTAATAGCTGTGAAAAACATAGTTAAGAAGCTAAAGGTGGAAGAAAACGACATCCAAATAGCAAAATGGGTATTCAAAAGCCCATTGCCTGAGATCTCATTAAGCCTTTACTTGTAGCCTATTAACTATGACGTTTACATACAATTCAAGCTTGTTACAAAACAAGCTTGGTTATACAGCTCTCCAACCCATCAAGGATGAAAAGCTGCATATTAGAAGACAGGCAGCCCACCAGCCATGAGCACTAGTACAATAACCATGTCAGAGGGACAACCGCAAGCAGGAAGAACAGTTTACATTTCATTCACTGCAACCTGCTAAGAAGGCAAGGGAATATATGATGCATTATAAAAGACTGCCATTCAGATTGGTTAAATAGGAAAAATCTAGGGCCTGAGGGAATGTCACTGACACAGAGCACACAGCTCTGCCCCAGCCCTCGGGATGAAAGAGGGGACACCAGGTGAAGGGGCTGACCAGATGGCAGAGGCTGGCCTCCTGAGGGTGGCCCAGTCCTCCCATTCCAGCTCAGCCAGGGTGGCAGCAACCTTGGCTGGGAGACATGCTCACCAAAACACATGCGGCTTCTGTTGTCGGGGCCCAGACCCCTAGAAATGCTGCCCCCACTCACCTCCTTGATCAGCTCATCAATTTCGGAGCGACCGCACTCCATGTCCGTGACTTCATTCACACAGCCAGAGGTCGCCACGCCTAACTTGCCTATGGAAAACCAGACAAACGTGACAAAACATGACCACGGCACCGAGGCATCACAACTATCATGGAGGCCATAATCTGTGGGTTTGTTGTTGTTGTGTTGTTGTTGTTGTTTTTAATGCTGAGGTGAAGGAAATAAGAGCCAATAAGTGCCTTCCCGGGTTTGGGAAAGGCCTATAAATGTTTTTCCCATGCTTCTTCAGTCATCTGATCAGCAAAGTTAAAAGAGAGAAGTTGGCTGCTGTTGTGTCTAACACTGAGAGGACAAGGACACCACTGTGGTCTCTTCCTTCTGTTTGCTGAGATCTAAAATGAATTCACATCAGCTATCCTTTCCACCGGGCGTTTCCCACCCTTACAGAGGTGACATGTGGACGCTGGGGCATGTGAAGACACTCAAAGATTTCCTGGCAAAAGGGGCTTGCAGGTTGCAGTTCGTCAGCAGGCAATCTCTTTCTGGCCTTTCCAACTATACACGCATGCATCTGTATACACACACCATGCACACACACAGCACAGCACAAAGACTCGCCCGTGCCCAGCGCAAGGCCGCCTTCGTCAGGAACCTCTAAAGGCCCACGAGCAATTCCACGACAAGCACCCTGGCCCGGGCTAGTTTCCTCCCCACGCTTATGCCTCTTCCCCAGACAGAAACTCGCCTTATTGAGTTGATCAGTGTGAGATGGATTAGAACCTACAACCACCTGTTTGTTGGAATTCATCAGTCCCCAGTGAGCTACAGAATTGACCTATTATTTCATCCTCATTGGATGTTGATTCCATTTTGATAGATTCAAGAATTCGCTTAGAAGCTTTTGATGGGGGAAGTAGGGGGCAGATGGGGCACCCCCAATGTAGCTTGCAAATCACTGAAGTACAGAGGAGAATGGGTCCATGGAGGCATTATGCAAATGCACTCTTTCTTTGCCCCCCTGAGAACCTGCCTCTTTAACATCTACCATTGCAGGTGATGCTGGCTGCACCTCGTGCTATAAACAAGTTAGGGTCACCTGCCAGTTCAAGCTCCGCTGACCCTGGGGGTGGGGGAGTAAGAGGAACTTCTCCATTCCTTCAAATCACAACTTAGTTTGTGGTGACAAAAAAAAATATCCAAAACTTGGAAATAAAGCAGAAAAAATGACTGTTTGGCCTCTTAAAGCCATTCCAGAGGGTTATCTAGTCTCCCCCTCAGGACCATCTGATTCTCTAGGGCAAGGCCATTTTGTTTGACTTAGTATTGACTATCGATTAGGCTGCAGACTCAGTAAAGTCAGGTGTTAATTTACAGGCAATTAAGCTACAAATGACTCGTAGAAAAGACAACCCCCAAACTACGGCGGCATTGCCCGGTCAGACGCTCATCGGTTCGGCGCGGCCCTCTGTTCTCCACTGACCATGTACACCAGCGTGTTACACTCCGTCCAACAATCTTGGTCTTCATGCTGGTTCCCTCATTAATGAGTCAAATAACTCTCTGACCCAGGGTCACTATATATATTTTCAGGGTCACAATTTTAACTAGTTTTTTTAAATTATACATCAACATTTTCAACCTCCCCACAGTGGGAAGAGCTCAAACTCAGACTTTCTACACAGACCTAAGCAGTTTTTGCTGGTTCTATTTCTTTCAGGCATTCCTGGACTACCAATAAACGTCTAAGGAGAAAAGGACGTTGTGCCAAGATTCTAATTGCGACACTGAATGGCTGTGTTAAAGGAATGTTTTAAACCAGCCATGGCAATTAAGAGTTTATCTCAGGGGCCAGTTCTGATTCATAGCAGCTGCACAGCATGCCGCTTGGAAAAGAATTCTGAGACCCAGGTGAGCGCTCCATACATCTTGATGGATTAGTGATGTCTGACCAGAGCACCGGAAGCAGGCCTGGGGGATGTGCATCACATTGTTCCTAACCCTGCTTTAAACGCCTCACACATGCTTTCCTGGGATTTTAGAACTGGAAGAGACTTCAGGAATGATCACATCCTGGATTCCCAAACAATGCTAAGGATCTAACAACATGTTGAGTCATATCTGATCTCCAGCCATGAAACCAATTGTGCCATCATCTATAAACTTATTCAAAAACCTTACCCTCTACCCTCATCAGCCAGCCCTTCTTTGTCGGCCTTATTTTCCCAGAGCCTCCTCCGAGAGTTGCTAGAAAACTAAAGGAATTACTTCCATACTGTCAGAGGGTCCCTGCTCCTGTGCAATCTCATCGCCAGGGGAACCCTACAATGCGCTCCTGGTCTGACAGCAAGCCGAGCTGGCTGCCACCCAATCTCCCCGCCCTTTCCTCCCATCAGAGCTGCCTCTCACTCAACTGGAAGCTGCCACTTGGTCAGCAGATGGTGGGTGAGGTCAGCGGAAAGAGATCTCCATAGCTGCTTATACAAAGGGCAGAACTATTTTGTTTAGCTTCAAACCACTCGCCCCAGACCCTGTGGGCAGTGGCTTTGACCCCAAGCCCAGGCTCTCCGGTGGAGGCTGCACGCTGGGCAGCCTCTGTTGGGCTGAGTGCCCATCAAAGATAGTTACATTTTTGCTCTTCCTCGGGGACGATGCGGTAAACTTTGTATGGCTCAGAAATGTCCAGCTGGGACCGGTCTGTCACTTCCTCAAAATCTGGACTCTTGTTCAAAGCACAGCGTAGCCTTGTCTTCCACGTGGCTGGTTCAGCTTTGTCCCCTTCCTTAAATTTTCCTTTAAAAACGGCCCAGGCCTGAAGGAAGAGAAAGCAGCACATGAAACACACGGCTGGCACCTCGACCACAGATATCCGTGGCCACGGTCAGGACCAGCACATTCTCACGCTCCTGAAAGTCATTTTTGGCCATCAACTCTCATTCAAGGAATTTCAGAGCTCAGAGACCTCAATTAGATCACTTTCTTCAACAGGTGTGAAAAGACCCAGGCCAGGAAGGGGGTCCCCCAAGATCACCCAGCTGAGCTGGTATTGGAACCCAGGCCCACGGCTCCTCCCCCACACAAATCCTTCCCTGGACCGGAGAGCCTGAGGTCAAGTAGCAGTGCAAAGAGGAAGTTTCATGTTCGCTAGAACCTTCAAAACAAAGAACAATTTGTGTGGTTTTTTTTTGTTGTTGTTGTTTTTAATCAACCCCTACCATGAAAATTTAGCATGAAAAGGGAACATTTGCAAAAATTCTGAGTGTGGTCATCCACTGCCCTGCTACTTTTAATAGAAATTTTGTTTTGCATTTTGGCATTTATTCTAACCTCCTGGCT